TGCTTTCGCCAGGTCTAGAAAACCCCCTATACATTTTCTACTCTTGAATTGATGAGGGACCACTCTTGTTAAGAAGATGAGGTTGAAAATATGTTCGAGGGGAACCAAAATATGAATGTTTTTAATCAGTTTTGAAGTGATGTTATCTATTCCGGGTGAACAATTACTTTTTAGTGATGATATTTGTTGAATCAATTCAGTAACAGATACGGGAGTTAAGAACATGGAATTTCGATTTGGAGTAAATGATGGCAGCATAAACTGCCGAGTAGGGACTTTTTTCAGCATATCAATGCCTATATTGGTGAAATATTTGATACAATGATTCAACATTTCATAATCATCATTAAAATCTTTGCCATCTTCGTCAACATCGTGGAATTTGTTAATACTTTATAATTTTTTTCATTTGTTGCCTCACTCATAATTCGGTAAATTTTTTTCATGTCATACCATTTACTTTGTATTTGATTTAAGTAGTATTCATTTTTTTCTGCTTTAGAAGTTTATTTAAATAATTTCTATAACGTTTGTATTCTAATTCTAGAAGAGACGAGAATCTACAATTTAGCATTTTTTAATTTTGTCATGATCGTGAGTTTTGGATTACCCTGTATACAAAATAAAAGATATCAAAAACATGATGAGTTGCAACAAAACTAGACTACTACGAAATTATTCTGGCCCGCCGGCTATTGATCAGTTTGGCCCGCTAACGTCCAATTATACATTTTTTTTTCCTTTTAGAAATCTGAACCGATTATTGTAGGCTCATGCCTCTCTTGGCGGCCCTCGTCCAGTTACGGTTTTCCATATCTGGCCCTTTGAAAATCTGAGTTGTGTAGGCCTGCTGTAGAACCTGGTAAAACCCTATATTGCCGGAATGGGGAAAATGAGTAAAATTCAACTTCGAGATAACATATAGGGTGTTCAACTAAAAAAACATAATTGACAAGGGGGGTAGCCATGTGTGAGTTGAGGTAATTTTAAGGTGAAGGGGGAGAAAAAGTCCTTTTTATCTCACAAGGAAAGTCAATGTTTAATTATTTAACAAAACATTGAGTGCGACCGGTTTCGAAGTGTCATCACTTCATCTTCAGGCTCGCCTAGTGGAAAGGAGAATATGTGGTGTAAGGTGTGTTAACTTGGAGCAAACGATATATAAAATAGTAAAAAAGAGAAAACTCACCATACTCTCCATCCACTAGGGAATACTACAAAACAAGTTTCATCAAATGTGGGGTGAAATAAATTGTAAAATGAACAAAGTTTACAAGTAATAAAAAAAAAATATTTGAAAAAACAAATATTAGTCAATTGAAATAGTAAAAATTTAAAATATTCAAGACCATACAAAACAGATCACATACATTAAACAGATTAAAAGATAAGGCTTATTTTAAACAACCTTGTTGTTTTTTCAAAAAACTAACATTTTTGAAAGGAGACCTGTCAAGTTAAGGCCTCTACAGGTGGTGGCAAGTATTAACAAAAAAATTCTTGGGTAAACCCATGACAGGGTATAGGTAATAAGATGTAAACCATGAGTGAAGAAATATTTATTATATAAGATTTGGGCCATGAACCAATCAACAAGTGTATGTGATGTTGTAGGAAGAAGAAAGAAGAAGAAATGACTAATAAGTATAATACCAAATTTAAAACTACCCTTAAAAATTGTACACATTTGATCAATGATTCCTTGTTTAATAAATTCAAACCAGATCACAAATTAATACCTAGGCTATATGGCCTTCTCAAAATCCACAAATCTGACAATTTTGATGACATACCAATCCGCCCTGTCGTGTCATATATAAATTCACCAACATATTATACATCAAAGTGGTTGAATGACATACTCAAAATCCATTATAAAGATCACTTTACACATACAGTCAAAAATAGTGTACAACTTGTAAACAACATCATAAATGTTTACATTAATGATACAGATTCTTTGATCTCTTTAGATGTATCAAACTTATTCACAAATATTCCTATACCAGAGGTTCTAGGTTTTGTTGAATCACATTTGGCAAGTTCGAATATGTCTGATATTGAACTAGTAGAATTTTTGAACCTTCTCAAGGTTTGTTTAGAACAAAACTTTTTTCATTCAACAATGAAATATTTTCACAAACAAATGGACTTTCTATGGGATCTCCACTTAGCCCAATATTAGCAGACATATTTATGCACAATTTTGAAAAAGAAAAAATCCTTAAAAACAACCCTTTCCACTCAAATGTGAAATTCTATTATAGATATGTTGATGATATTTTGATTTTGTGGTCAGGTAACTTAGACTCATTAAATGACTTCTTGACTTATATTAATGACTTACATTCTAATATTAAATTCACATTAGAAATTGAAATAAACAAATCTATTAACTTCTTAGATCTTAAAATCTCACACAATAATAACAAGTTCAACTTTGACATCTATAGAAAGCCAACACATACAGGCACAGTTATAGACAATACCTCTAACCATCCAGCAACACATAAATTGGCTGCCTTTAATTGCTACTTAGAGAGGCTATTTTAAATGTTCCTCTGTCTACGGAAAACTTTAATAAGGAACTAAATATAATTAAAACTATTGCTATAGATCACAACTTTGAACTAGATATTATTGATAAAATGCTAACACATAAACAAAATAAAATTCAACAAAACTTAGTTTATATTAACAATCCTAATATGGTACATGAACTAACCACCAGTAAGAAATACATTTCTCTTACCTTTATTGGAAAAGCATCCTATAAAGTGGCAAGCTTACTTAAAGACCACTTTAAAGTATCTTTCAAAACCCCCTCCTCATTACATAAGTTATTTGTTCATAATAAAGATAAATTAGATCCCTTTGACTTATCTGGAATTTATAAATTAACTTGTAAATCTTGCCATTCTTTCTATGTGGGACGCACATTTCGAAATTTCAAGATCCGTTTAAAAGAACATTTGCGTTGTCTTAACCAAAATACAACAGGTTTTTCACATTTTGCCAACCACCTACTGGACTCAAATCACGACTTCGATTCAACTGAAGGTTTCGAAATCCTACACAGTTCCTACCATAGATTTACTCTTAAATCCTGTTGGTTGCTTAAATGCCCAGATAATGTCAGAAACTCCTCCTGTTTTCTCAACACTAATCTAAATTTATCGTTCTAACTTCCTTTTTAACCTCCCCCTTTATTTTTATTCACATATTTTCTTGCAAGGGGTACATTTCAGTAAGTAATTTTTTTCCCACAAGAAACCAACGAGCATGGGAGCATGTTTAAAGATTAGGTTAGATTGTGTGATATTCACATCCGTCATTTTCTTCTTTTATTCTTCAGTTGCTTCACAACAGTTAACCCAGTCATTTCTTCTTCTTTCTTCTTCCTACAACATCACATACACTTGGTGATTGGTTCATGGCCCAAATCTTATATAATAAATAAATATTTCTTCACTCATGGTTTACATCTTATTACCTATACCCTGTCATGGGTTTACCCAAGAATTTTTTTGTTAATACTTGCCACCACCTGTAGAGGCCTTAACTTGACAGGTCTCCTTTCAAAAATGTTAGTTTTTTGAAAAAACAACAAGGTTGTTTAAAATAAGCCTTATCTTTTAATCTGTTTAATGTATGTGATTTGTTTTGTATGGTCTTGAATATTTTAAATTTTTACTATTTCAATTGACTAATATTTGTTTTTTCAAATATTTTTAACTTTTTATTACTTGTAAACTTTGTTCATTTTACAATTTATTTCACCCCACATTTGATGAAACTTGTTTTGTAGTATTCCCTAGTGGATGGAGAGTATGGTGAGTTTTCTCTTTTTTACTATTTTATATATCGTTTGCTCCAAGTTAACACACCTTACACCACATATTCTCCTTTCCACTAGGCGAGCCTGAAGATGAAGTGATGACACTTCGAAACCGGTCGCACTCAATGTTTTGTTAAATAATTAAACATTGACTTTCCTTGTGAGATATAAACGACTTTTTCTCCCCCTTCACCTTAAAAAAACATAACTTTGGTATGCTGTGGCTTTATGAAACGCCCTGTATATTACGAAATAATTTTAGAATGTGGAGCTGGACTCTTATCTATAATTTGTATTTAAAACTTTTGTTCGTATCCATCAAAACAACGGAGACATCAAACTCCGGAGTATAAGTTGATCACCCTGTGTATTAAATTACTTTTTTGAAGTTCCATAATTTAAATTGGCACAATATAGTGATAAATACCCGTATAGGTGTCTGATTTTGATTACAGAATCTAAATGATAAATATTTTGTTGTGTTCGAGTTATGCATAAAATAGTTTCTTATCATGTTTTGACGGAATCTAGTGTTTACTTTTTTTTTAATGTTTGAATTTGTTTGGCGATAACGTATCTCCATTTACCAATGAAAATATTTTGATGGAAAATAAATAATAATTTCAGTTGATACTTACTTAAAAAAAAAAACATAGAAAGGAAGCAACTTTTTGAAAACATTTGCAAAATATTCTTTTTTTAAATAATATATTATTCTTATTTATAGTAAAATATAACAGGTGAGCAAATACATTATTTTTATATAAATTTTTACATGTACCTCTATATATGTTGTATAAATTCAAAGAGTTTGATAAAGTATTTAAATTATGCTAAGAAAGAAAAGCCTAGTTTGCAAAATGTTCCGATTTGTCATTTTCTACCATTGATATTTGGCCTGGTTCCTGGAAAAAAACAGTCAAACGTGCAGAACACTTGTTAATTTAAAACAAACAAAACAATTTATCCACCGATATTCAGCTTATTTTAGCGCAAAACTGTAATATTAATTCCTAGATTTCCTGTTTGTGCAACAATCTAAAAATGTTCAGTTAAATTACTTTTATTATTGAATATAAATTTTTCGTTGAATTTCGGTGAAAAAAATTAAACAGTTAAAGAAATTAATAATAATAATAATAATAATAAAAAAAAAACTCACTTTTGGTTTAGGTCTGTGTGTATCAACGCAATCAATATTGAGAGAAATCTCTTCTACCCTACAACCGTACGCCACTGGGGTCAGTTTGATTACAGAATGAAGGGGAACTTTTAAATAGGGTAGTTCATCTGAAAAATTAATTGATCTGCAAATTCTTATTTATTAAATATAATTAAAGATTAGGAGTGGGCAAAATAATCGATTTTGATAATCCTCCGGTTCTATCGATAATTCAATACTATTCCTTTGATTACCTTATTAATGTGTAATTGAATTAGTTAATTTAATAATAATCGATAAATTAATAACAATCAAATATAATATTAAAAATCAATTAAATAATATCGATTATTCGAAAATAATCAATTTAACAATTAATCTAAAATAACTGATTAATCGAATAATTGAAAACAATTGGATAAGTGAAAATAATCGATTAATAAAAAACAATCTAATAATCGTTTATTTTAAATTATTCGATACTATAAAAATGATCGTTTGATTACTTTATTAATGTGTAACTGAACTAGTTATACAGTATGTCCGAAATTGGTGATACATGTATTGTGATCTCCGAAACTGTTAGAGATAGAAAAACGGTTAAATGGGGAAAGTTTTAGATAATTCTGTTTATAATTCAATGCCGTTTAGTTTAAGATTTTTTCTCTTTTGTTTTTGAAATATTTTGAAAAAACTAAAATTACGCATTTCCGAAAATACCCTGCATTTTCTTAATTTATGAAAATTTCTAAAATCTGTAAAAACTTTCTTGGAGCAACTTTTTACGTAGAAAACGCCTGTGTCGTAAGATTTTATTTGCAACGTTTCTGTTTATTGGAACCATCATCAACTTTGTTTTTCATATGGGCGAAATATTGGATTTTTACTGTTTTGAAAAGCCCCTTTTTTACCTTCCTAAGGATGTACCACATTTAGTTAAAAAAAGTTAGATTATGGGTTAAAAACCAAAAATTATTATTTTGTTTTTAATTTGGTAACGTCGCCCTATAAACACTAACACAGGAGATCCTATTACATTTCATCTCTAAACTGCAATTAATACCAAAATATCCTCATAACTATGTTTATGATAATATTACACTCTCACAATATAACAAAAAATAACGTCAAAAAAAACATAACTCTTAAAAAATACGTTAACGAAGTAAAATTATTATTTTTCAGAACACCTAATATGACCCAAAAATAATACCCAAGTAGCATTATAGTGACAGAAACTTATATCGCCACTTCGATTAAGTGACTATTACGTTATAGTCACTAAATGTACCCCTATATACTGAGAATAACTTCATTTTATATTTTTCCAGTTGTAGCCACGTGTATTTCACCACTGGGAATCACTTCAAAGTTTTAAATTATTTGGTTGCCTCTGAATGTGTTTGAAACGTTATAGCCACTAAGCGGGACCACTTTAAAGTTGCACAAACTTGAATGTGGAAAATAGTAGTTACGGCCACCAAATCATATCACTTAAATACCACCTAGAAGTGGCAGTAATCTTAAAGTGGGTTTGTTGTTTTAGTAACGTTTCGGGAACCATAAATATATTTTTAAAGTGGCGGCACTTGATTGTATAACTGCAGTAGTTCTTGCCACGTTTTTGCTACGCTCTTAAGTGATTTCCACATATTGCGTGAAACAAAAGCCACTTCAAAGTTACTATTACCTTCATAATCCACAATGAAGTAACCGTTGCCTATTAAAGGCCTGCTTTCTACATTGTCCGCATTTACAATAAAGAACAAACTACCAAAGTGTCGTCGACCTGTGCGCAAATTAGTTTGTTTTTTGACTTATCTAGAATGCATTTGTGTGTAAAATGGGAAACAACAAGAAGCCTCGCAAAAATATTACTTTTCGACATTCGACAACTTTTTATAGACAACTTAAACAACAAATGAATGGTACCAGAACTCTTAAACGTTATTACTCTGTAGTGAACAAGCAGCTAATCTCGGAACAGAAAAAATGTAAAAATTCTCAAGAGTCGTTTTCCCACATGTCGGGAACAACGCAGAAACAAACACCCCCTCTTTTCTTGAGTCGATACAATTTTAAAACTCATATCTAAATCTAAGGTGTGCACACAAACACAATATAAAACATTAAATACATAAATTTAAACAAACATAAACAAATTGAACCGGCGAAATCTACTGTAAATTTTGAGGTTATATGGAATAATACAACTAATACAGTGTTGCAATATCATCAGAGCGCAATTTCCCTGAGAAGATATAGTATACAAATTTTTCCCATAATCTTCTTGAATGTACACTATATTTGTACAGGGTGAGCGAAACTCGATGTTTCAGCTCCATTATGGGACAAGGGAAAAAGATAGGAAAAAGTTGAAAAGAGGTTCTTAAATGGGATAGAGTAAGGTCCGTTTTAAGCCCAATTTGCATATTTGTCCATATTTGGAAACTGAGGTAATGACGTCATCGATTTTTTTTTCCGGAAACATACCTATATTTTTACAAATTTAAAAAGAGCTAATTTTTCTGAACAAATTTTATAAATAAAAAAATTTGATATCTCCTTCACTTTAAAAATTAAAAGCAAATTTGTAAAAAAGATACAAATAATATATTACTTACAAGAGAGAGAAACAAAGCTTGTATGCATAGTCAATCACTAAAACAAATTTTCAATGTGACCACCTCCTACTTCTAAACACTTATCCAATCTCCGTCTTACTTCTCTTACCGAAGCCTTACGTAACATTTCTCTAGATAATTCATCGCAAGCAATTCTGATTTTGTCTTTTAAATGTTCCATGTTAACTGATGGTGTTCTGTAAACTTTATTTTTCAAAGTCCGGTGATTTAGGCGCCCACTGTATCGGTCCATTTATACCTATCCAATGTTCTCCATAAGTTTCATTCAAATATCGTTGGACAATTCTTGCTTTATGCGGTGGAACTCCATCATGCTGGAAACACATATTTGCTCGAAGCTGTAATGGCAAATTTTCGAGAAGCACAGGCAATTGTTCTTGAAGAAATTGCAAGTATCATTCACTACATAAAATTCGTTCGTAAAAATATGGACCAATCAAATGCCCATTAATAATACCACACCAAACGTTAATTCCGAAATATTTCAATCGGATTGACAAAATGTGGATTCTCAGTAGCCCAATAATGTTCATTTTTTTTATTGGGCTTACCATTACTAACAAAACGGCTTTCGTCCGTCCATAAAACATGCTGAAAAAATCGATTTTCATGCTCTAACGTTTCCATCACTTGGGCAATATAATTCAATCTTCGTTGTTGATGTTGATCTGATAAGTATTCTAAGTTGTGAAGTTTATAATCGTGGCAACCATTTTCCTTCAAAATTTTTCGTACCGAACTATATTTTAAATTCAACTCACGACAGGCTTGCCGAATCGAATTTCTTGGATGGGTTTCAAAATACTGCAAAACAGTGGCAACAGTATTATCAGAATTGACTCTTTTAGCAATTTTTTTTTTCAATTCGAGAAGAAAATGCCTTGTTATTTGAACGTAAATTGCGTTCCAATCTTGCAAATATTTTTAAGCTTGGAATAACACGTTCGGGGTATCTCTGGGCGTATAACTGATCTGCTCTTCTAGAGTTCTTTTGAGATTCCCCATAAACTAATAACATGTCGACTTTTTCATTGTGCGTGAACATTTTTCAAAGCCAAATAACATAACAATATTTGTCAACCATTAATTTAATTTGTCAGATACGTCTTTGCTATTTGTTTCCAAAGGAGACTTGTTTAAATTGTGACTATTCTGAATTTTTGATTATAATTTTTTTTACAAATTAGCTTATAATTTTTAAAGTGAAGGAGATATCAAATTTTTTCTTCATAAAATTTGTTCAGAAAAATTAGCTCTTTTTAAATTTGTAAAAATATAGGTATGTTTCCGAAAAAAAAAATCGATGACGTCATTACCTCAGTTTCCAAATATGGACAAATATGCAAATTGGGCTTAAAACGGACCTTACTCTATCCCATTTAAGAATCTCTTTTCAACTTTTTCCTATCTTTTTCCCTTGTCCCATAATGGAGCTGAGACATCGAGTTTCGCTCACCCTGTACAGGGTGTTCAGTTATTTTTAGAACAGCACTTAAAACTTTTATTAAAAGAGATAAAATAAATTGTTAAATACATAAGTTATAAGGCTTTACTAGAAATTACTATTAAGATAAACAAACGGCAACCAGTAAGGTAACTAACAAGTATCAACTTTGTGAATTAAAATGGGAACCCTATATATTTTTTACTATGGCGATTCCAAATATACTGTACCTCAATATTTGATTAAGCCGTTTTACGCTATTCAAGATTAAAATTGCTTTAAATTTACATTACCTTGATCTAGGTTGATAGATGGCATATTTGTAATTTAAGGTAAATTTGATTTTCCCCCCTGACATTGACCTTATTGAACAACACAAAAACTCTGAAATAAGTGGAGAAATGGCTGATCCTGGCAACAATGTAAATAATTAACTTTATGGTGGCAAACACTAGGTGTGATACACATGTAGAGAGTTTTGAATTAAAACATGAATAAAACAAATTTTAAGTGTATCTGACCTATAATAAGGCGATATTGAATATTTCTCAGAGGTTGGGTACTCAAGGGGATGATACAATAAAAACTAATCGATTACCTTCATGGTTTTATTTAAGTTGATTACTTGGACCGGGACAGTCTGATTATCTTCTTTTTATTTTTTTCTGGTCTTGCCATGTGGAAGAGAGTGAGGTTATGTTACAAGATGTTAAAGTTAAATGTCACAAATATTTTACAAATTATTCATTGTTTAAAAATCTAAATAATCTCAATATGGAATATTGCAACAGGAGGTATTTATAGATTATTAGTACCCCTATTCGCTCCGTGCGAAGTCATGGAAAGGGAAGCAAAAGCGATACTAGCGCTAGCTGCGGATAATTCGTGCATTTTAGGGCGATATTTTGTAATTTTGGCATATCAAATACACGTATACATTTTACTTTTTTTCAAAAAAAAGTAGGTAAAAACAATACAATAAGCAACCGGAGTTGCTGTGTTGAAAATTGAACAAATACTAGCAAAAAAAACAGTGAAA